CTAAAGAAAAGTTTAAAGTTCAAAAACCATGTAAAAATGCAAATAGAAAAATAGGGACCACCTTTGGTGGGAAGGTAACAGCGTTCCATGCGCCTTCAGCGTTTAGTCATGTCAGCCACATGACCACGGAGACGTCTTTGGACAGCACTGGCTTTTCGGCTTTGAATCGGAGATGAGCACCGCCCCCTAGCGTGGGAAACGACTAGCACATATGTGTGCGGGGAACCTTATTGTCCATGTCATTTTGATATCATCCTGGTTTCTAAAAAATATCTATGAAATAAATCTTGTTTCCTCCAACTCCTGTTCACTGACTGGAATCACACTTCAACTATGCTTCAATTCTACACTGAAAAATCATAGGGCCCAGGGAGAGATTTTCATGCCATCTCAGCCAATTGGCCTCCCAGCTTTTGCTGGATAATCTCCAGTTATGGAGCATTGATATGCATAGGGAGGAGGGTTAGGAATGACTATATTAACTTCAATTATGTTCCTATATTTAAAATCTGGAATTATTATTTTTGTGAGAGCCTACTGAGATTGTGGAGGACCTTCTGAACGTGAGATAATGGAAAACTGCAGAAGGGCTCAATTGTGTAACTCTCCCCTTTCCTGAATAAAGAGTTTATATAAAAGATTGTCTGCCAAGGCTTCAATAAAATTAAACCCATCTTGTTACGTTATAAATTTTGCTAAGGAGTTGCCTTATTTGTTGATTAAATGTGTATATTAGTTTTTAACCAAGTCCAGGTACATTGAAGGTGTGACTATTTGAGTGAGTTGTTCAAACAGTCCCAAACAACTACTATCACAAAAGTATAGTTCATTACTGATCATGGTTAGAAGGGAGTGGGTTTTATAACTTCTGAGAATTGGGAATTTCCCCATCTCCACTTGCATTATCTTCTGATGAAATGAAATTCTATGAAGCGTGCATTAATACTGATTTAGTCTACTTAAAAGAACTGTATATTTTGGAAGTTACTCAATTTTCAAGCAGAAACTGTCAGAAGAAGCTTTTTCATATTCCCCAGTGTGGACATAATTTAGATTTTAAAAATAGGTACCTATAATAGAAGCATTATATCATATGTCCAGGAAAGTGGCAATTCAGGTTTTGTGGTAATATTTCAAAAGGGGATTGACTAAAGACCTACAAGGATAAAACAAATATGTTTGTATATTCTGGAAAATGCTACTTAAAAAAACAACCCTTAGGGTTTTTAAAGTCTTTAATCTGTAACTGGGCTGCTACAGTTAGGTTGTGAGACAACATGATAATGCCTGTTTTCTCACTTTTTATGCCCATTCTTCATGTGCCCATAGCTCTTAGTTTAATTTTCTCCATATTCAGTGTTGTGGCCCAGCAGGAGCCGTTGGAGCTGCCACCAGACTCCGACAGCGAGGGGCCCTATGAGTCGGCTCTG